TGGTGTTGTCAGCACCACGCTCAGCCAGTGAGCAAACCGGCCATCCCTATATAGGATCCGAACCCGTGGCCTTGGTGTTATCAGCACCGCACTCTACCGAGTGAGCCACGGGCCGGCCCCAACTGTAACCTTATTTGGAAAAAGTCTTTGAAGATGTAATTAAGTTACAGATTTCAAGATGAGATCATCCAGCACTTAAATCCAATGACGGGGCCCTAAATCCAGTGACAGGTGTCATTATAAAAAGAGGGGAAAGGGCCGTCCCGTGGCTTACTTGAGAGAGCGTGGTGCTGACAACACCAAGTCAAAGGTTAAAATCCCCTTACCGGTCATCTTTTAAAAAAAAAGGGGGGGGTAGACACAGGGACACGCAGGGACAAAGGCTGTGTGACAACAGGGCAGAGATTAAGCACCAAGGGATGCTAAGGACTGCGGGGAGCTGCTGGGAGGAGAGAGGCCTGGAACAGACTCTCCCCCACAGGCTCCAGAAGGAAACCACCCTGCTGACAGTTTGATTTTGGACTTTTGGCCTCCAGAACGGTGAGAATAAATGTGTTGTTGGAAGCCCCGGGTTTGTGCTGTTTTGTTATGGCAGCCACAGGACACTAAGGTGTGGGGGCCCTGAGAACTTCTGCAGGGGGAGGTCTGCAGGCCTGCGTGGTTTTCAGAGCCAGACAGAACTAGAGCCCAGCCCTTTTCTAGGCCCAGAGAGGTTGGGCAGTTTGTCCAGAGTCACACAGGTGCCCGTGAAATGGCACCAGAACCCAGAACTCAGTGGCTCCATCCTGGCTCCTGCCTCCTGGACAGTCCCTGCCACCCCCATGGGAGATCAGGGCAGAGACACAGCTCCATCAGTTAATAGCGTGGGCCTGGGACCAACCAACCACCCCTCTCCTGTTCCCGTTAGTCGAGTGGGAACAGGGAGACCCCTCCTGGTGGGTGCGGACCTGCAGCAGCTGAGGTGCCAAGAGCTGGCTGGGCCACAGCCGCAAGCTCTGGGGCATGGGAGCGACTTTGTTTCCCTGCTCTATCTGCAGCCCCAGGCGCAGGGTGGGCGAGTACCTTCGATGGTGCCCCATTTGGTCTTCCTCCCGAGGATTCTCTTGCCATTGACTTGGTACTCGTGGTCACTGCCCACCACAGCAAACGGGATCATCTCCTGGGGAAGGGGCAGATGGCGCTGGTCACACGTGTGGGGAAAGGTCAGGCCCTCCCCTGGGAGCCTGGGGCCCCCCAGAACTGAGAGTCTAGAGAGGGCCTGGTGTGGACACCTGGGCCCCGTCCCCTCCCAGCCCAAAGGATACATTCTCATGGCTCAAGACCTTCCCCCGTTTCCCTAGACCCCCTGAAAGGGGTAGGATCTGCCCCCCATGCCCTCCAGCAGGAATCGAGGGTCCCCTGGGAGCAGTTCCTGGCTGGTCCGCTCACCCGGAACTTTTCGTTCACCAGCCGGTCCTCCGAGTCCTCGTCAAACTCCTTCTGGGGGTACACGTCGATGCCATTGGACAGCAGGTCTGCGGTGATCTGGGCATGGGGGGAGAGAGATGTGGGCACCATCCCTGTGGCAAGCTCTGCCCACCACCATGGCCTGCACGCCATGAGCTGCCCCAGGTGGGAGGTCGAGGGTGGGCCCTGGGGGCTGTGACCCTCTAAGTTGGAGGGGACAGCTGCAGACCTGCCAGCCCTGAGATGCTGCAGCTCCCCGTGGGGCAGGGGGCATGTGAGGCCGAGAGACCTACCCGCTGTTTGAAGTAGACCCTTTCCTCTAGGGTCAGCGTGTCGGCCTTGGCGATGACCGGGACAATGTTGACCACTTTGCTCAGCCGCTTCATGAACTCGATGTCCAGGGGCCTGAGCCTGAAACAGGGCAGTGCAAATGAGACTCGGCTCTTGGGTGCCGGCTACGGGCTCACAGGAGGGTCTGGCAGCCCCGGCCACAAGCAGCGCTGCTGAGCTGAGACAGGAGGGGCTGGGGGCGAGGCCAGCTCCCTTGTCCATGAGGCTCCCAACTGTCCCCAACATGTGTCCACATAGAGGGGCTGCCACCAGCTCAGATGGCCGTCTTGCAGTGGGGCTTTGATCGGGAGGAGCGATGAAGGAGAAACGGGACCCGGCGCTCAGCCACGCTGCACACCAGGCTGGCAGCTCTCCCGCCTCCCCCTGCCACTTGGCTCCAGCGAGCATGGGGTCTGACTCAGGGAAAGGTGTGCAGGGCAGGGGCTGGCAGGACCCCTAAAAGTGCGCACCACCTTCCCACTGGAACAGAGCCCCCCACAGCGAGAACACGTCAGTCACAGACACATCTGGGGAAAGTCGGACTGCGTCAGAAGTTCAAGAGAAGTCAGGGAAGAGCCACCCCTCCCGCAGGACTGGGCACAGAGGGCAGGGACCAGGCACCACGCCCAGCTGGGGTCCCAACCCAGAGGGTCATCACTGGCGGAGCAGCAGACGAGGGAAGAGCCACCCCTCCCGCAGGACTGGGCACAGAGGGCAGGGGCCAGGCACCACGCCCAGCTGGGGTCCCAACCCAGAGGGTCATCACTGGCGGAGCAGCAGACGTGCCCTGCCGGAGCCACATCAGGGCCCTTGACTCTTGCCATTGGCTTCGGCCAAGGTGAAGCTTGGAGCAGCCGGACCAGCTGCCACAGGACCTGCAGATGGGCTGCTGAGCCTCAGGCAGAGCAGACATCGGGTCACAGTGCTGGTCCCCTGTGGGCGGATCATCCTGCCCCTGCATGGACTCTTGCCGGCTCCCAGGGATGACACCAGAGGGTGGGTTCGGGTTTTCCCACAAAGACCCCATGGTGAGGCTTGCTCCCTCCAGCTAGGCTCCTTCATACAGCTGCTGCCTGCAGAGTGTGGGTTTCCCCCAGATCCCTGGGCTCCCTACACCCAAGGAGGTGGTTCTGGAACAGCCTGGGAGAGCCAGAGACCCAGGCTGCAGGGGCCAGGACCCCAAACCCCTCCCCCATCCGGGGTTCTGAGCCCCAACTCTCCCTCTCTGTCCACCCCCAGCTGAAGCCACCAAAGGCTGCCTCCACCCACTGCCCTGCTGTCCCTAGGTCCTGGTCTGGCCTCCCCGCCATGCCCTGACTCAGCACAAGCCACAAGGGTGTCCAGCAGGGGGACAGACAGGCACCTAGGTATTAGGAAGATGGGGTCCAGGGGAACCGGGACACCTCTGTCTGTGAGGCCATCGAGAGTCCGTCTGCCCTCGTGCAGGGAATCCCTCCCCAACACCGGGTGCCCTGGCTTCCAGCCTTGCTGTCCTCTGGGTGCAACTGTCAGTGTGAACTGGGCAGCCTCCACCAGCAGCAGCCCAGTCTAGCCCTGCTGGGACCGCGCTGTTCTCTGAGAACATACCAAACCCCCCCACGGGTACCACGAGGCAGGGGCCACAGTGTGAACTGGGCAGCCTCCACCAGCAGCAGCCCAGTCTAGCCCTGCCGGGACCGCGCTGTTCTCTGAGAACATACCAAACCCCCCCACGGGTACCACGAGGCAGGGGCCCAGCATGGAGAGTTCAGGTAACCACTAAGGATGCACAGTGGAGAGTCTCAATCCGCCCGCCAGAGCCCGGCCGAATGCCTCGCCAGGACGCAGGCCACCACCGGGTTCTGGAACAGCCCAGGGCCCGCCTGGGCCTCGGCTCCCCAGACACGAGCTGGAAGGGCAGCAGGCACGTGGCACAGAGGTCACAGCCAGCTCTGACCCCGGCCCCCAGCTGGCCCCTCTGTGGCCAGCGGCAGGGTGGATGACACCGTGGAGGTCATGCAGCAGTCCCGGGGGGACAGGGCATGCTGGGACGTACGAGTGGCCGGTGGCAGGGATGAAATAGAGGCAGCAGTGGACGCGGGTGTCTGGGATGCGCTTCTTCCGGTTGATGTTGACCTCCTCCTGCAGGTACTTCTCGTACTGGTCGTTGATGAACTTCATGATGGGCTGCCAGCTGTGTGCAGAGGCCCAGGTCAGTGGCACATGGACCCCTCCTGCCCAGGCCCGGCAGGTGGTCAAGGACAGCTGTCCCAGCCCTCGCGGGAAGGTCGCTCACTCCCAGACTCCCACCTGACACCCGACCACCGCTGCACGCCGTGGGCAGGGCTGGCCTCCTGAGCAGACACCACAGCCTCGTCCCAGAGCTCGCAGCCTCCCATGCGACCTATGACCCCAGGGGTGGGTGGGGCAAGAGCAAGGTTCGCAGGGAACCGCTGCATTGGTCCAGAATTTCAGACCCCTATGACGTGTGGCTTTGGCCACGTGAGACCTCAGGAGACGTGCCCTGCACCCCAGGGCTCTGCCTCCAGGAGGGTCCCCAGTGCCCCAAAGCCCCCAGTCAGCGCTCTTCCACCTGGAGGAGTGGCCCCCACTGCCTGGGTCCCCAGAGCACCTCACCAGTTCTCATTGTTGATGTGGTCCCCGAATCCTGGCGTGTCGATCACCGTCAGCTTCATCCGGACGCCTTTCTCCTCAATGTCTGCATGGAACCAAGCATCCACGCTCAGGGGGGAGACCCAGGACACCCGCGACACCCCACGGTCCCACTCGGGCTGTCCCCACGGTCCCACCCAGTGGGACAAGGCCCTCGGGCTGCCTGACTAACCCTGGGGCGCCTCGGGGTGGGCCACAATGACAGCCCAGGCGACACCCCACGGTCCCACTCGGGCTGCCTGACTAACCCTGGGGCGCCTCGGGGTGGGCCACAATGACAGCCCAGGCGACACTGGGGAGAAGATGGCCTCCTGCACAAACTCCAGCAGAGGCTGGTGACTGTCATCCTCGTGTCCTTCACCCACAGTTTTTGGTGGAAAACTGAGGTGTCTGCGGGAAGCTCAGTCTGACAGGGCCCATGGGGATCCAGACCACCCCAAGTCCTCACAGCCAGGCTACCCAGAGTCTCAAGCTCAGGGCTGTCGCAGTGAGTCCCCGGCCCCAGCCCAAGCGCTCACCATGTGTGATGGACTTGATCTCGATGGTCTTGGGGATGCGCTCCTCTGAGGTGGGCTGTACTGACTTCCGGCTGATTTTGGATTTGAAGAGGGTGTTGATTAAGGTGGATTTCCCCAAGCCGCTCTGCCCTGGGGAGAGAACAGGAGAATGGTCGGCAGGCTCTGCAGAGGCTGGTCCACGGGCCACGTGATTCAGCACTGCCTGGGTTAGCGGCACCCCTGCCAGGTGGGCCATGCCGAGGCTTCACCCTCCAGGTGGGTGTCCAGTGACGAGGGAGACCCGCACAGCCAGGCTCCGCTGCTGATCCAAACACAGAGACCTTTCCTGAGCAGTGACCATCCAGGCACCCACGGGCCTGGGAGGAGTCACAAGACCTAGTGCCCCTCTGTGATTCCCAGGAAGGCGGTCTCCCGGTGGATGGGATTTAGGACAGGGCAGGTGGAGGGCTCTGAGTGGAGCCCCAGGCTGTTGGGACACACCTTTGGCCAGGCCAGGTGGCGGTGTTGCAGCAGCCACCGGGATGCTTAGGATGAGCCTCGGGTGTCTCTGACCAGTGTGGCCTGGGCAAGTCATTTAACCTCATTGTGCCTCAGTTTCCTCATCTGCAAAATGGAATAAACAACCGTCTCCCCTGTGGAGCTGGTGTGAGCTTCAGGCAGGCTCATACCTGTCTCAAGGAGTCTGCCGTTGTCATGTAGTGCCGGCCTGCAGAGCGGCATCCACCCTGAGGGACGGTGGCCACAGAGCCATGTATGGGGGCAGCAAGTCAACGTCACTGAGAGAACAAGGACACGTGGACACACACAACTCACACAACATAGACACACAACTCACACACAGACCTCACACGCGACTCATACACAACTCACATATAACACACACAACACACTCACAACCACACAGTACAACTCACACACGACATAACACACACATACTCATGACTCCAGACTCCAAGCCCCACTGCTTTCCCCCCGCACGGAGCTGCCAAACACCTAAATTACACTGATGCCCCGACTTTGATAATATCCTTCAAGGACAAGTGTGGGCCCCCTGGGGGACAGAGGCTGGTGCTGGAATCCTGGGCCTGAGGACAGGCCGCCTCGTCCATCTGCCCACCTGGTTTGCATCCCGGCCAAGCTCAGGCCAGGAGTAATGACACATGTTCCAGCCAGGGCGCCTTAGATCTGAGGGATGCCGACGGGGACATTTTGAAGTTTATCTCTTTTTTATTATTATTATTGTTAACTGTTATCATCATCATCACCATCACCATGACGACGGGAGCTGCACCAGCTTCTC